TTATCCCCCTTTTTCATCTAATCTACCAAACCATCCCTTATTTGGCAAGGACACACCCCCGCCTCGCTGTGACAACCCCCCGGGCCCAAAGCAGCAAAGGGAGGGTGGGTGGGAAACTTGTTGCTGGCCCGGCTCCTAAGTGGCACTGAGGTCAGTCTGCTTTGTCACCACCCACTTCCTCACATCTCACACTCCCACATGTAGCATATAGCCAATCATGCATCATCCACCCCACACTCATACATGTGCCCCTGTCCGCTAAACTGCACACTCTCCCTGGGGCCTAATCTCTGTGAATCTAACCCTTGACCTGATAAATCTGAGAATTTCAACGTTCACTGCTTAGATTTGCATGTAACACCACTAATCCTGGGAATCTGCCCTCTCATCCCCAAACATTGGGTATATATCCAATCACCGTGAACCCCTCGAATCAGTCCAATCACTGTGAACCCTGCGAATCAATCCAGTCAAAGTGAAACCTGCGAATACGTCTGGAGAAGCTTTTTATCCCCCAAAGCCTTGGGAGCCTGACCATTCACATACTAATACTGGGAATCTGCTCATTTCAACGAGGAACCGGAACCACTACAGCACACTTCTTGGAGTGTTCCTTTAAGATAATATACATATATGATATTGCAATACACATGTGGAAACATAAAAATAAAGAACTGAAATTAGTGGTGAGAATGAGCAACTCCAGCCTTAAAAAAAAAAACCAACAACTACCATATAGGGATAAAACTTGAAACCTTTCAATTTCAAGCTGTACGCTTCACATCTAGGCTACCATTTTAGCAAGAGATATAAGATTTTTGTATTATTTTACAAACGTCCATCTCTTATGACCTACTAGAGATTAAAGGAGTCACTTCAGAAATCACCTTGGGGAGCAGACTGAGCATGTCATAGGTGCACCTGCACTGGGCATTCTTCACAAACAACCCAAGTTCTGCACATGCCCAGCTGCTTTTAACAGCTTATTAAGACAGCCTTCATCCACTATCAATGAGCCAGTCTGTGCAGTGCTGGTAGAAGCGTAGAGAAATTATAGCACTCCCAGGGAAACCATGCAAATAGTTTGCTATTGTACAACTGGCAACAGATTTAAAAAGAAAATAAATGTATAACAATTATTTGTTCGGGTACTGCCCTAAGTGTCTTTACGGACAAGCCACCACTGACAGAGAAATAGTTATCCCTAAATAATGAAAGTGAAATGAAAAGCCCCCTTGAAAATTATCCTGATGTTTCCTACACAGGTGTATTCCGTTGCTCAGTCACAAAGTTACTATCTGTCACGGAGTTCAGAGAATCTGCTTCCTTTATTATCCCAATAAGGAACTATCCTAGATTATATTATTTTAAACTTATCTTTAAAAGATGTTTCTCCAAAGTGGAGAGAGCGGTAGGACTGAATACAGCTGCCATCAGCACATTCCGTACTAACGCAGTTTCTGTCAGTGGGCAGATGAAAACAAAGCAATTTCCAGGGTGGCAGAAAGCAGATCTCACATTTATGCTGGGAAATCCAAAATCCTTAAAAAACAAACAAACAAAAAAAAAACACACAAAACTCAGTATGTGTAGCATTTTATAGTGAAATTAAATGATTTAAGTGGTTATGGTGCTTTGAGTAACTATTTAAAGGATCAATACAAGCAGCGGACTGTAGTAGTTATGGTGTCAGGGGTGCCCTGGTATTGTCCCATGGTAAGATATTAAACTGGCTTAGTATGGTTTAACAACCTATCTGGGTTCTTTTCCAGCAGGAGAAAGTCAGATTGCAATCTAGAACAAAGATGGACAATGTTACGGCTGTGCTCTACTTTACCAAGACATTTGGCTTCTTCTACTGGTGAAGGCATGCAATGGGTGACGTCCAAATTGTGCCTCATAAATTGCTTCAATGTCCAATATGTAATGCAGGACAAACTAGTTCAAAGAGGTCCAAATACCAACTTTACAAAGTTTCAGCAGAGACCATTGCCATGGAAGCCCACGAGATGCTGTAACAGCACGAGTGGAGAATGCCCCAAATCCTTTGCTACAGGTAGAGAACGGCATTGAAAGGCTCTCACTTTAGGCAGGATCACTGGTGCTACATGCAAGACAACCATATCCTGTTGAAATTCAGTGAATGGGGGTACACAGGATCAAGCCTGGAGTTCACCCATTTCCCTTGCTGGGGTACCAGCCACCAGCACTTTCTGTGCTACCACCATGGAAGCTCCTTCTAGAGGTTCGAATAATGGTTCAGTCAGGGCCCGTGAGACCAGTGGTACGTCACATATTGGCTTCACCACACTCAGTGGAGGCATGATTTCAATCAATGCCTATATGAAGCAAAGTGCAGCTAAGTGCACACATTCACCCTGCTGAGGTACATGTCACCAGCAACAGCAACGTCTGGGATAACATCATGGAAGCTCCTGCTAGAAGTTCAGTCAGAGTCTGTGAGACCAGTGGTACGTCACATATTGGTTTCAACACCCTCAGCGGAGGCTTGAGTTCAATTGTTGCTTACATGAAGCAAAGCACCAGGGGCATCAACGCTCATTCGGTACCCTTCAGTACAGGTAGAGAATGACATAGATAAGCATTCACCATAGGCAGGATCTTCAGGTGCCAAATGCAAGACGACCATATCTGTTGAAAAGTAGTGAAAGGGGGTTCACAGGATCAAGCCTGGAGTTCACCCATTTTCCTTGCTGGGGTACCAGCCACCAGCACTTTCTGTGCTACCACCATGGAAGCTCCTTCTAGAGGTTCGAATAATGTTTCAGTCAGGGCCCGTGTGACTAGTGGTACGTCACATATTGGCTTCACCACACTCAGTGGAGGCATGATTTCAATCAATGCCTATATGAAGCAAAGTGCAGCTAAGTGCTCCTCTAGAGTGTTATAACACAGAACCTTTCAAGGCCTGAACGAGGAGTAATTCCAACAGACAAAAGCATGACAAGCTTAGTAAAGCCTGTATAGGATTGTAAGAGGATCTCAATGACCGTCTCAGGGATGCCTATACTAATATGGACTCCCGCATCAACACCAGAACTTGAGGATCCTGGTGTGTCATGGGGCCTTGTTATAGGTCTGAACGTACAGGAATATCCCTTGGAGGTTCCAGAATCATCTTATTCATCATAGGAATTAGAGTCGACACGGTCTTCCACTGTCACCTTTTGCACTGCCTTTTTAAGAAGGTCGAAAACAGGAAAATATGTACATCAGACTAAAATTCTAAATTTGAGCCAATGTATCCTGAACCTGAGCATTCTGGTCCTAGCATGTAAAAAATACTTCTGGACCTGGTAGTTCCAAGAAATGGCCATCAGATCTATGTAGGGTATCAGACAATCTGCGTCAACCACGAGGATATGTCAGGACATGGTTGCCAATCCACCTTGTCCACAGTTATTCGGCTCCAGCAAACAGCCATGGGCTTCTGAGCCACTGGTTGTTCTTGTGTGCCCTGATCATTATGGGCTGGGATTCCATCAATACGTATCTGTGAGACCCATCTTGGTAGATATAGGATACAGTTGCATTGATATTTGAGCAAATTTGGACCCACTCGTTCTTCAGCAAGCCTCTGAAGTGAAGAAGAGCCTTGAAAATGACTCTTAATTCCATACAGATGAATGGAAATATTGTGCAACATGGTCCAAACACTGTGCAACCAATCTTATAAAAACTGGAATTCGAGCTAATAATTGACCAATGAGGTTCTGTTCACTGGAAACTCAGAGATCTAATCCCTCTTTCAGCTGCCAGGGTAAGGTGCAACTCCACTGATGGGGACATAGTAAGTGGCTGGCTCCAATAATCTTTCTCTTGTTAGACCAAAATAGGAAGGATCTGTAAGGAATCCAGAGATGCCATTGGGCCTATCTGACAAGTCTGCTGGTGGAAGCCAGGATTCCTAGTAGTTGCATCTATTTTCTTGCTGTTACCAAGCAGAAATGAAGACACTGGGAGAGAAAACCTTTACAATCTGTGGAACTGTTCCCGAGATAGGGAAAAGCAGAGCCTAGAATTTTCCACTCGGGAATGTCAACCACTGAGCTGGTCTGAAACTGCTTTTCTTGATAATTCCAAAATGTAACACAGTTTTTAAAATATATCAGTCTTCAAATGCACTGCAGTTTTCCAAATGTACTGCGGTTTCCAATGACTTGCGGTATTACATGCAACAGTATTAAATGCAAATTTAAATGAAACAGTTTTAAATGCCACACAGTTTAAATGCAACACAGCTTAAATGCTTCCTAGCAAAAGCACAACCGCATAATGTACCACAATCTTAAAAATAAGGTACAGCTGTATAATGCACTCATTTAAAGATATCAAAGCTTAAATGCATCACAGCATAAAAGCACAACTGCATAATGTACTACAGTAAAACAGCAAATAAAGTAATGAAGATAAAACAACATACATGTCCGTAAGTAAAGGGAGCAAATTGCTCACGTCCTAAGGGCTGTAGGACAGGAAAAAGACTGAGGAGCTTAGGGATGGAGCCTCCTTTTAAAACCTTGGTGGTTTTCCTGTCCTATCGGCTGTAGGAGAGGAGCTAACCCATGTGTATATGCTGCCATGATTAGCCAGGAAATATATATATACTTGGACCTCAAACTCTTAATCTGTTTTTCAGTTTTTAACACTATTCAGCAGCCAAGTAAAATCATATACTGTAATTGTTTCTTTTGTAATTCTATTCATTGCCTTCATGTGATTTTGTAAAACTTTAAATTAAAAAAATAACCTTTTAGAATTCAAGTCATGCAGTCGGTGCTATTAAATAGCCAGGTGAAGACTGGTTTTATCTGGTAAAAAAAAGTATAAAAGGGAAAACTTTAATTATGGGAACAGACAAGTAATTATTGTATGCATAAAGAACGCTAAGACAAATCAACTGCAGAAACGGTAAATATTACAAAATATAATTATATTTTCCCAACGCCAAAGAAAACCAAACCGCAAAAAAAAAAATTGGATATTAAATTATTTTATTGGTCAATACAAAATGATTTTAGTGAAAACTCAATTCAGAAAATATCTATTATCACAGTTAACACATAAAAAAAAAATCTGATAAAAATATTTGGCTTAGTTTGCAAATGCTTCTGTACTGCAGTTTGTGTTTCAGAGGCAAATTCTTGTTGTTTCCAAAACATCAGGAAACATATGGCGTGTACTGAAATATTCCCTTTAAGCAATTTTCTTGTGATTGGCCCAGCACGGAAAAAGATAAGAATCATCTTTATAACAATGCACAATTTGCATAGTAACTGGAAGTATCAAATGCTAACTAAAACTTGTGGTTGTTTTAGTGATTTATTTTCATAATGCTTTAGTACTGGACCACTCGAAAATGGCTTAGGGCAGAGGTAGACAATTTTCGGCACTCCAGATGTTTTTGAACTACATCTCCCATAATGCAAAGCATCAAGGGAGGTCTAGTCCTCAGCATCTGGAATGTTGGAGGTTGCCTATCTCTGGCTTAGGGGGAACATTGACTTGGAACATACAAAAGCAATTATGTTTATTTATCAGTTATATTATTAGGAACATGTGACTTTAACAATTAAAATAAGATACCACGCAAAAAAAAAAAAAGAACATAAAAAAATAAATATTTTTACATACTTCTGGATGTGACCCAAGTTTCCCTTAAACATACACAAATACAAAAAAAAAAGCCAGTAAAAAGGCTACAAGATCACAGATTAATATGTACAATTTAAAATACGTAATGTGTTCTAATCTTGGCTTGGTCAATTATTCCTTGTGGAGACAAAACCAGAATTAGAGAATCAAAAGGAATCCAAATATATAAGGGTTGTTTTTTTTAAAATCAGTGGGGAGAATATTCTGGTTTCCATGGAAATCAGTCTAGTTGTGGAACAATCAGCCGGAACACTCCATTGGTTTCCACGGTGACTGCTCCACTTTCATAGCTCTGCCCTAAAACCGATCTTTCTTGACATATAACCCCAGTGAGATGTTATTAATTATGGTGAATCTGAGCTAACCAAGCTCTAACGATTACTCGGATGCATTCCTCTTGGTAGTATACACTAAACCCATAACTTACCATTTTAGGCTATGATAGATGGACTGGGGACATACTGTAATGGAGTTGGGTATGTGACCAATTTTGATCAACCAAGTCTTTGGTTCATTCCCCAAAAATCCCAGTTTAGTTAATACTGCTGATTAAGCTGAAAATCTATTAAGAAATATATAGTTTTTCTTTTATACTTTTATTTTTATTTTTTTAAGGGGGTTGAAGGTGGACGTTAATTATACAGCTCCCCAGGGTCTACTCATGAAAAATCAAGCATGTTTTCTAATGCCACATTCTAATACTGACGATTACAATTATACATGGCCACAGAATGAGATGTCAATGAAGTGGTCAGCATACTGAGTGGACAAGTCCTACTTGTGAGAAGGTTTTGGTCAAATTCCATTATATCACAATGTTCTTGGCGCAGGTAATTCCCACTGTTTGTAAAAAGAATCAACCACACTTGAAATACGAGTAGATTATTTTTACTTCAATAAACAAAAAAATTATTACATTTTGTATGATTCCTTTCTTAACTCAAAAGCTAACTCCTCAACAAATTCTTAAATAAACTCAAAAAAAAAAGAAAAAGTCCATACGACCTCATCTCTTCCACTTGACATTTACTTTCAGGAAGAAGACACGTGAAGTCCCTTTGGAGTCTATGTAACCTCACCTTTCCTATTTGATAACACTTTCAGGATAAAATTTGGAAAATGATAATGTGTAAATTTGCATGACAGCAGTAAAGTGTACATAGTATTCAAAATGTCTACGCCCAATACAATTTACAGATATAAGTACATATGATCTAAAATAAAATAAATACATTTTAAAAAAAAGTTTAAAATGAGAATGCACGAACATTAACTTATGTAACTCTGGGAGTTAGCCCATCTAAACGTCACAGAAAGGAGTATGATCTCCCTGCTTACAATATTGCCCTGCCTTACAATTCTGTAGTCAGGTGGCATGTCTGGAATCCATTTAATATTTGTCCAGGTTTCTTTCAGGAAATGCCAAGAATGAATTTGATGCATCAAGGCAATCCTTAACAGCACCTATCTCTTGGACATTTAACATGTGCTAGCTCAGTCATCCATCTCCTCTTAACCTTAGGTGGAAAAACTGCATTAGTCAATCATGGAAAAAAAATCTCAACAGCAGCATTGTCCATTTGGCACAAAAAAAAGGTCTTTCTGGCACAATAAAAAAAGAACTAAGGAATGTTTTGGTAAACACAACATAATTATATTGATCAGGCATGAAAAGCAGACCAAGAAGTGCTATAGAACTCTTCAGTTAAAGGCCATTGGGTAGTCCGTTCATCCTCTTCACTGTCATCATCACTGGATGGTTCATGTTGTGGAGCTCGAGTGTGGAAGCGGAGGTCGGTCTTTTCCTTTTCATTATCCTTTGATAATTTTTCGGACGTCAGCTTTCTGTAGCACAGCACACAGACTCTTGAGGGTTTTTTCGATAAAAAGGGTATCAGGAATTTGTACTTGGAACATTCTTGGCACACAACAAATCCGCAGTTGCGGCAATGATGCCTACGTGTTAATGTTGAAAATTTTGTTTCCGTACAGCGCATGCATATATCAGTGGCTTTGTCTGGTATCCAGGCAGCAGCATGCACAGTCGGACGCCGTTGACCAGTCTTCTTCAGAAGTTGGTTGACGCATTCATTTATGTGACCAATCCATTCAACCCTTTCAGTGTATGAAGCAGCTGAAACCACAAATGACTTCTTTGAGGTCTTTAGCATCCATCGGTTCTTCATATCCTGGCTATCAGGAAGTATTTCTGTAGTGATGTCTTCCAGAGGAATAATATGTTGGCAGTTGTAACGGACCTTATTGATCACAATACTTCCGTATACCAGGATGTCGGTAAAAAGAAAGAAAATCCGCGGCTTGGGTTTTTTCCGACATTCCTTTGTTAATATTCCTTCACCCACAAGTACTCTTCCTGGCATTGCCAGAGGTTGACCAGAGGCACCAAAACAACTTTCAACAGCGGCAATCCGTTGAGTATTGATCTCTGTGTTAGCCAAGGTGTCCACCATCTTTAAGTGAATTACCTGAAATGAGAAAAAAGTAATATGAATTATAGGTAATATGTTAAAGTATACTTTACCACCAGAAAAACTTAGCTTCACGGTACATTTCAATAATATAAGAATAACCATAAATCATAAGTACCATGCTAAAGGGACAGGAAAAGATAATATAATAGGAGATTATTTGAAAACTAGATCGCCTATAGAAGGAAAAGATTTAGCAGTTGTTGCTTTTATCCAAAAAAAAATTCTGATTATTTTCTGCAAGTAAAACCATTTGTACCTCTTCTAATAGCCTTTTATTGTTAATAGCTTACTTATAAACTGCCGTAAATTGGCCATAAAGTTGCATAAAACATTGATTGTCATACCAATTTGTTTCACTTTTTCCATTGATAAGTAATAAAAAAAAAAGCAAAGAGTTAAAGTGTAACGGAGATCCCTGTACCCCGGCTGGGTACCTCCGCCAAGGACCACTTCCTAGCTGGAACAGGGGACAAACCGTAGCCCTTCTGTCCACAGTCACCGTGCCTTGACTGGGGCCCTGGAACTGCTCCCTCCTGGAGCCAAATGGGGAATTCGCTCTAGACAACCCCAGGCACTGGACAACACTCAGTCCTGGAAGCTCTACTCCTTACAAGGACTTTCCCCGTTGAATCCTCCACATTGGAACAAGCTGGAGTAGTGATTAGCCCTTTCCCCTTCCAGTAACTAGACAACACATAGTTCTGGGAGTACAAGCTGGAATACTTTATAGGCAGCCACAACTGGCCTTATATGCAGGTCGATTTGATAAAATAGTGTCTCTCACAAACTCACAAATTTACAAAAAGTGTTTCTGGTGTCCACATGCAAAAACACTGTTTCTCCCAAAAAAGTGATTATAGTGGAAAATATAAATATTAACAACTTCCCTTAATAGCATAGGATATGCCCGAAGATCTCCTCCTATCTTCAATTCAACACATATATAGTATAGGGCTATTCCAGTTAGGGGAGTAAAAATACAACATAGTGCAACACTGTGTGTAATAATATTGGATATAAAATTAAGTGCCAAGTGATCACTCACACTTTGACATCAATATGCAGGTCCCCGTGTAAGGGGCACTCCCCGTGGACCTGAGAGTAAACCACAGTAGAAACAAATATACAATCACATTGGCTCTTAGATCCAGGACACTCCCATACATAATGAGCTAATCCCTCCCCTGTGCCTGGGAGATAACTGAGTCAAGTACTGTATTAAACTCAATTATCTCCAAGCACAAAAAACACACATTTTCCAACATCCCCTGATAGCCATGATCTGGGTGACAAACATATCCAAAAATCACCCAGATCAGTTCAGGAATTTCCTGGAAGTCATAATTTGACCGACCGCACGCATGGTCCCATGCCCAAAACAGTTCCAGAGAATCAGGGCTTGCGGTCGGTCTAGTTCGGTAGTTTAAAAACAAACAAACTATCGAACATAGTCAATAATCTTACCCTGGAGCTTGTTCCCCTTGTTCGTGGGAATGTTTCCACCGAATAGTGTCTTTCTAAGGGTTGTGGAACCGAATGCAGGTGATCATGGAAGTCCAGCGGTGTTCGGGAGTGTCAGTATCCGAAAATAGTTCCATGAACTCGACGACCAAACCCTGCTGCTTGCGTTCATACGAACAAGATGGCCGCCACCTCATTGTCATCCATAGGAATTGGGGCCACACAGACGAACACTTAGAACACTGCGTGGCAATTGCTAAAAAGTATCAATTAGACTGAACAAGCACCAGGGTGATTTCCGGTTCCTGTGGCTATTCGGTTCCCGAACCATATAGTCCAGATACACGAACAGAGACTTTTACATCACATTTTACAGGGTCCATAATCTGTGGGCAGGAGGCTGGCAAGCAGGCTCCTCCAGGAACTCGTGGCAAACTCAAAAAGGGGAGTGTGTCACAAAGTATAATGATATCAAAAAATATATATAATAACATGACATTACATTACAAATTTACATTTGTTAATAAATCTTCCATAAAAAAAAAAAAAATGCTATGAAAATAAGATTAGATCTGCAGATCTAAGAACTTCGAACTTTCTATCTTTATTTTTACCGAAATGTGGGCAACCATCCAGTGGAGTGTCTAGGGAACACACTATTTTAAACAAATATTGTTTCTGGCTCCGAGACTGCAATTCTAAAAGCACTGAACTTGGATTAAGTTTATGACTGAGTTTATATATTTTTTTTTTTTTTGTGGGGAATAGGGAGGGAATTTTTAAAAGATGTTTTTTACCAAAACATTTCCTTGTAATGTAAACGACAACATGACCTGAACAATTATTCCGTGTACTTTAACTCATCGAGCATCCTAGGAGCACAGGTCGACATTGATTACTATGTAACAGTTAACATATTAGAAGACTCTGTAACACACGTTCCCAACTCTGCAAACAGTATGTGATTAGCATAAGACTTGCATAGTATGGGAAAAGTAAATAAATCATAGACGGTAAATTGTGTTGTCACAATGCGTTTAAAAGCAAAATGTTCAGCAGACACCTCACATCAGTAATAATTATCTCTGCCGTGAGTGTATATACATATGTAAAAAACTAAAAACGTTACCATCATCAAATTTGCGGTAACTACTGTCACTCCTAAAATACTATAAATATTGGTCACCCTCATCTGTCCTTTGTCTTGTGTCCACAGCTGTGCTTCTTATCCCCTTAAGGACCAAACATCTGGAATAAAATGGAATCATGACATATCACACATGTCGTGTCCTGAACACTCCAAGCGCCAAAACCACTATGAGCCGGCTATAGTGGTTATGGTGCAGATAATGTCTAGACACCGTCCAGCAAACACTTTGCAAGTTCAACACTTATTTGGGTCACACAGCGCAACCATGATGTATCTGGACTTCCCATAGCTGGAGAGACCAGATGTCTGTCTGCTCAGTACGGTTACTCATTGAACTCAATCAACGGCCGAGGGAACTCATCTGATGCTCTCAGCCTATTACTGAGGCCATAAATCGACATCCGACTTGCTCCAGCAATGGAACCTCTTTTGACTTGGAGAAGAATCCATTGAAGGTGTTTTACAAAATTATATCACAATTGAAGAAGGGGTCACCGGGGGAGATTGTGTTGTCAAGGTAAATGGTTACTGTAACCCATTTTAAATAGCAGTTTTTCTCTTTATTTCTTAAAAAAGCAATAAAAATAAGCAAAATACTTACCTGTAATCATGCGTAGAATCTAACTACGTCTGTCACGCTGACGACAGGGTCACCTCAATACCCATAGTCTTCCCATTCAAGATCCATGACCTCTACCCATCCACCCAAGATTCATAGCATGTGACCTTTCAGCCTCAGGCCCTTAGAATTTACCCATTGAGCACGAGATGGCTCATTCTCTTTGAATCCAAAGCAATATGTCTCTTTGCCATATAAATCACGCAATTCACCATATTAACATGAGACCCCAAGAATCATCTCTTCTCCCAGAGAATTTCAGAAAATCTGACACCACCAGCCATTATATCTGGGTCAAGGAGCAGTTAGCTCTACAGCCTCTGTTGGGTAGAACTACAAGTCCCATAACCCATCAAACAGATTCGCTGCAGTACAAATACTGCATCCAGAACCAGAGCTCATAGTTTAAAATTTTTTATATTGCGCCAACATATTCCGCAGCGCTGTACAACAGGTCAAACAAGACGAACCATTCTAACAAATCATGTCTGACATATGGCTACACTACTTGAAGAGGGCATGTCCCCCCCCAAAAAAAATCTAACACTACAAACATGCAATTTCAAACCGGGAAGATAACTGTGCTGCTAAACAACAGGAGAAAAGCTGAGACTAAGGATCAGCCTACTGGCTGGCACGGTATTATGGGAGCTGCAATCCATAGCAAACCAGCCTGCTTATCCCTGGTTAACCAAAGGGTGTTTCTCTGTGTTCTGATAACATGATGACTCAATATATAGCAATCTGGGAGAAGGGTTTCATCATGTGACACCGTGATTAGTTCCACTGCCTGGGATCTCGTGGTTACAGTGCTGGCCATGGACCCACATAGATACAATATATTTCAATTACAACTGATGGCATAGGTCTAAATTTAATATGCACATTGTAGGATACACGCATTCATTCTTAGAGCTTTCTCTTCACAATAAAGAGAATGTAGAAACTGAGCCAGCGATTCCTCAGATTTTCAGGATATTGTGCTTTTTAAGGGCAATTTAAGCATAAAATACTAACTGTTGGTTAATACAACTAAAACTGTTAAACTTTGTGATGCTCCACATTTTTGTAAACTTGTAATTATGCAAATTTAGTTAATTACTTCACAATCTATTTCAGTCAGAACACAAATTTATTTTCATTTCTCTTCCTCCACATTTAACGTTTGATGACAGAAAAGTGCAATTTTTTTTTTTTAAATCGATGATTCATGTGTCAAGATGGAGGTACCAACTGCACACAGGCCACTTCATCAAGATGAAGTAACCTGGGTGATTTTAGTGGTACTTTGTCCTTTGCAAAACTTTAAAAAAAAACAAAAAACATTTCGCCCCTTAGTGCAAGCTATAGCACGATAGTTATATATTTTATTCTATTTTATTTTAACATAAAAACACCAAACGGGATGTCTTGAGATGCATGTAAAAAAAGGGTAAGTAACCACAATTCGGCAACTGCGAGCACAACCGCTAGACACATTTACGAAGTTTGTAATTGGTCACAGTTTCAATGTGCAGTCTTGCGGATACTGCTCTATTGCGAAAATTGACGTTTTTTGTACTTATTTTGAGAATGTATACCAATGGTTATGTACGCAATGTATAAGATGTCCTGTTTTGGAACAAATAAAGAATAAAAAAGCATTTCAAATCTGCAAACAGTGAAAGTGAAACATCCGAAGTCCCTAGGCAAATCTGCAATAAATGGACTATACTTTTTCTGTTTTAATCTTTTGTTACCCAACAAAAAAGCAAACTAAATAGTAGATTTAAATTTCTTTCTAACTACTATAGTTAGGAGTAAACGGATTTTCCATTGAATTGCTAAACTAAAAACTGAATTGCAAATGTGGCCCAAATGCTGAATTTTTAAATTTGCTTAAAGGGACACTTCAGACCTCTAAAACACTTTAGCTTGTGTGTCCTCTTTTTCATTTTACAAAAAGTGAAGACTCCAATTGAAATGTGCACTTTTATAAATTAACATTGTTACACCTCTCTGGCTGTCAGTCAATGTTGCCTATTTTAATCAATTGTCATATTATTAATCCCATAGTTTCCGAGTTATCTTTCCTATTGGTTAAAAGGACTGGGATGCAATGCTTGTAGTGACTTGTAGGCATTAGACTGCATGGTTTAAATGAACTGTCCATTTACATGGACGTGTCTCAACAGCTCTGGGCAATACATCTTGCACACATTACTCATTGTAAACTGGGAATCACAATTAGCTTAAAAACAAAAACTGCCACATCACCATTTCACTTTGTGAGCTATGATACTCGGTGCAAGATTGCTACCTTAAGAGACAGAGATTTATTTAGAAATTCCATTGCACTAGACTAGGCCCTGAATCTCTGTACACATTATGGTACCCACACATCAACATCGCCCACCATAGGTGGGCCCAGCTTCATTACGGTGTGCACTGGGGATTGTTTTCTAATAAAAGTTAAATATTTATATTTATTGAAAACGAAACCATCATAAAGATAATTTCTATTCATCATAGAATCTAGAATTAGATCTAAAACAAATCTAACTTAGGTGTAAACATCAGTTATAAACATAAATAATCTATCAAGTTTCAAAACCGCAATAATCAACATAAACATTAATAATCTATTCAAAACTGGAACGTAAATGGATGCAGGGACTCATGGGGTGGTGTGGGCAACTTAGACCTGGCACACACTTTGGGCACACCAGTGGTGCTTCTAAAGATGTACCCCACCTGTATGTGTTTTCCAGTGTAGATTCTAAGTTACCGAATCCTTCGTTGTATTAACCCTACTAGAAGTCTCATTAAATATCCATTCAATTTTCCAAGTCAACCGTAGAATTAGGTGAGACTAAGCCAAAGCTGGAATGGATTCCCAGGCCAAAACTTGGGAGTGATCCCAAATCCCGCACATCCTTGCTTATCATTATTTATTATATGAAGCGACGCACACAATGCTTTTATTTGTAATTTTAATTCATCTAGGAATTGCATTGCAAACATGCAAAATATAACAAAAAAATACACTTCCTTGGATGAGGGCTTATCCAACCAGGAAGTGGATAAAACATAATCCAATCCTATCCCATTCATTACTTCCAAAGTGAGTACCAAGTATGACTAGCGGGAGTTTTTATTAGAAGACTTGACCCAAACTGCTAAGCAAGTTGACAGTTGCCCCTTGTGCATCTCGCCATGGATTCATTTCTTCCACTCTTTACCCCTGAGCGACCTCTCTCTGCCCACTTGTCTCGTTTTGTTCCAAACTCAACCCCCTTTCTTGCATATCCATCTTTGTGCATCCACATCCATGTTCTTTTTCTCCGCTCCGCTCCAGGCTCTCCTATGCCCATTACCACGTGGTCCATTGATTGTGTATCTCCCTTTCCATGTCCCCCTTATGTCTACCTCTTAATGACTTTCTTGTGTTCCCGACACCATGCCCTCCAACTGTGCTCATCTTCATCTTTGTGCCCTTCATGTGTGTCCATATTCATGCTCTTCTATGCCCATGTCCAAGACCTCCTGAGCCCATTTCCATGCTCTCCTTCTGTGGTTATGTCCATGCTCCTCAAGTCACCACTAGCCAATTCTTGTAGCATGGCCAAGCTGCATACTAACTGTCCCAAGTTCACGGACAGCTTTCCTTAGTGATGTTCCAGTGCGGGACTAATGCTCAGTGTGCGCCAAGAGGGGGGGGGGGAGAAATATGTCCGTCCCCACCTCTCCTACAAGAAGCTTCCGTAAGCTCCACTAAGCCAAGTCCTACTGTGAAAGGCCGCCTAATAGCTTAAACGGTTTGACTACTAACTGCTGGAGGGTGCCGGTGCACTTCTGGCACCATAACTACTACAGCAGGATCTAGTGGTTATGGTGCTTGGAGTTTTCCTTTAAGTTGCTTTGGAACTTCTGTAGCTAACTATGTATGGCAAGTACTGCTATTTCAATTTATTGTATGTAACAATTAGTCTTTTCAGTAATACCCTAACGCTGAACTACAGGATAGTTCGTGTGAATGTTATAAATATCTCCACACGTACACCCATGATAAATCCACCCATGATATATCCATAAACACATTATATACCGCTTCCTCCGTTTTACAGATTTTCCTTGAATCCTGGTTTTGGCTCACAGGCCAGCCAGTTACTTGGTAGAATCACTAGAATCAATTAACGCTGAATTTAAGAGTACAGCCTGCACTAGTATGGTTCTAATTAAAGAGACAAAGTTACTGGAAGTAAAAAAAAAAAAAAACATTTTAGGAAAGCAAATCACTCACCTAGACTTCTAGGAGTGTATGGATTGAGTCGATCTGAGATTTCACACTTTCTTTAGAACACAGCTGGGTCAATACACTGGCTTCACACAAACAGTGAGAGGCTGTGAGTATACTCCAAGTAAAGTGAGAAGCTGTGAGTATGCTCCAAGTTCAGTGTCTGAGAGGCTGTGAGTATGCTCCAAGTACAGTGAGAGGCTGTGAGTATGCTCCACGTACAGTGAGAGGCTGTGAGTACGCTCCACGTACAGTGAGAGGCTGTGAGTATGCTCCAAGTACAGTGAGAGGCTGTGAGTATGCTCCACGTACAGTGAGAGGCTGTGATTACGCTCCAAGTACAGTGAGAAGCTGTGAGTATGCTCCAAGTTCAGTGTCTGAGAGGCTGTAAGTATGCTCCAAGTAAAGTGAGAGGCAGTGAGTATGCTCCAAGTACAGTGAGAGGCAGTGAGTATGCTCCAAGTACAGTGAGAGGCAGTGAGTATGCTCCAAGTTCAGTGTCTGAGAGGCTGTAAGTATGCTCCAAGTAAAGTGACAGGCAGTGAGTATGCTCCAATTTCAGTGTCTGAGAGGCTGTAAGTATGCTCCAAGTAAAGTGAGAAGCAGTGAGTATGCTCCAAGTTCAGTGTCTGAGAGGCTGTAAGTATGCTCCACGTACAGTGAGAGGCAGTGAGTATGCTCCAAGTACAGTGAGAGGCAGTGAGTATGCTCCAAGTGAGAGGCAGTGAGTATGCTCCTAGCAAAGTGAGAGGCTGTGAGTATGCTCCAGAGTTTACCTATTGAATGAGTGAGTGAATCTGCTCTCATTCAGTTCAGTGAGTGGGTGAGGCTGTCACTCAGCTCAGTGAGTGGGAGAGGCTATAAGAACTCCAGCTCAGTAAATGTTGAAGCAGATTCTATGAGTGGAATGTTAGTATTGCAGTGGGTGTAAGGCTGCCTCACAGCTGTCAGACTTTTACCTTACTGACTTCTGGGTGGAAGAACAGCTAGTGTCATAGATAATAATGTACAGGACTCTCTGGCATGCAAACCCCTCCTCTAGGCTGGGAAGACTAGCACATGATCTGGCAGCTGGGACAGTGGTTACTGGCAACTCCCCCAGTGAGAAGCTGGAAACTTGTATATTGCAAATACATACCGAGTGCAGAGCTCCCAGCCAGACTATCTGAGCATCAGTAGTACACACAGAGATCACAGGGAGAGGGACCATCTCAGTGTATACCAGTTATAAAGCAGAGAGGGGCCATCTCAGTGTATACCAGTTATAAAGCAGAGAGGGACCATCTCAGTGTATACCAGTTATAAAGCAGAGAGGGGCCATCTCAGTGTATACCAGTTATAAAGCAGAGAGGGACCATCTCAGTGTATACCAGTTATAATGCTGAGAGAGACCATCTCAGTGTATACCAGTTATAAAGCAGAGAGGGACCATCTCAGTGTATACCAGTTATAAAGCAGAGAGGGGCCATCCCAGTGTATACCAGTTATAAAGCAGAGAGGGGCCATCCCAGTGTATACCAGTTATAAAGCAGAGAGGGGCCATCTCAGTGTATACCAGTTATAAAGCAGAGAGGGGCCATCCCAGTGTATACCAGTTATAAAGCAGAGAGAGACCATCTCAATATATACCAGTTATAAAGTAGAGAAGCACCATCTCAGTGTATACCAGTTATAAAGCAGAGAGGGACCATCTCAGTGTATACCAGTTATAATGCTGAGAGAGACCATCTCAGTGTATACCAGTTGTAAAGCAGAGAGGGACCTTCTCAGTGTAAACCAGTTACAAAGCAGAGAGGGACCATCTCAGTGTATACCAGTTATAAAGCAGAGAGGGGCCATCTCAGTGTATACCAGTTATAAAGCAGAGAGGGACCATCTCGGTGTATACCAGTTATAAAGCAGAGAGGGACCATCTCAGTGTATACCAGTTATAAAGCAGAGAGAGACCATCTCAATATATACCAGTTATAATGCTGAGAGAGACCATCTCAGTGTATACCAGTTATAATGCTGAGAGAGACCATCTCAGTGTATACCAGTTACAAAGTAGAGAGGGGCCATCTCAGTGTATACCAGTTATAAAGCAGAGAGAGACCATCTCAGTGTATACCAGTTATAAAGCAGAGAGGGGCCATCTCAGTGTATACCAGTTATAAAGCAGAGAGGGACCATCTCAGTGTATACCAGTTACAAAGTAGAGAGGGGCCATCTCAGTGTATACCAGTTATAAAGCAGAGAGGGACCATCTCAGTGTATACCAGTTACAAAGTAGAGAGGGACCATCTCAGTGTATACCAGTTATAAAGCAGAGAGAGACCATCTCAGTGTATACCAGTTATAAAGCAGAGAGGGACCATCTCAGTGTATACCAGTTACAAAGTAGAGAGGGGCCATCTCAGTGTATACCAGTTATAATGCTGAGAGAGACCATCTCAGTGTATAACAGTTATAAAGCAGAGAGGGACCATCTCGGTGTATACCAGTTATAAAGCAGAGAGGGACCATCTCAGTGTATACCAGTTATAATGCTGAGAGAGACCATCTCAGTGTATACCAGATATAAAGCAGAGAGAGACCATCTCAGTGTATACCAGTTATAAAGCAGAGAGGGACCATCTCAGTGTATACCAGTTACAAAGCAGAGAGGGGCCATCTCAGTGTATACCAGTTATAAAGCAGAGAGAGACCATCTCAGTGTATACCAGTTATAAAGCAGAGAGGGACCATCTCAGTGTATACCAGTTACAAAGTAGAGAGGGGCCATCTCAGTGTATACCAGTTACAAAGCAGAGAGGGACCATCTCAGTGTATACCAGTTACAAAGCAGAGAGGGGCCATATCAGTGTATACCAGTTATAAAGCAGAGAGGGACCATCTCAGTGTATACCAGTTATAAAGCAGAAAGGGAACATCTCAGTGTATACCAGTTATAAAGCAGAGAGGGACCATCTCAGTGTATACCAGTTACAAAGTAGAGAGGGGCCATCTCAGTGTATACCAGTTACAAAGTAGAGAGGGACCATCTCAGTGTATACCAGTTACAAAGTAGAGAGGGACCATCCCAGTGTATACCAGTGATAAAGCAGAGAGAGACCATCTCAGTGTATACCAGTGATAAAGCAGAGAGGGGCCATATCAGTGTATACCAGTTATAAAGCAGAGAGGGGCCATCTCAGTGTATACCAGTTATAAAGCAGAGAGAGACCATCTCAGTGTATACCAGTTATAAAGCAGAGAGGGACCATCTCAGTGTATACCAGTTACAAAGTAGAGAGGGGCCATCTCAGTGTATACCAGTTATAAAGCAGAGAGAGACCATCTCAGTGTATACCAGTTATAAAGCAGAGAGGGACCATCTCAGTGTATACCAGTTACAAAGTAGAGAGGGACCATCTCAGTGTATACCAGTTATAAAGCAGAGAGAGACCATCTCAGTGTATACCAGTTATAAAGCAGTAAGGGACCATCTCAGTGTATACCAGTTACAAAGTAGAGAGGGGCCATCTCAGTGTATACCAGTTATAAAGCAGAGAGGGGCCATCTCAGTGTATACCAGTTATAAAGCAGAGAGGGACCATCTCAGTGTATACCAGTTACAAAGTAGAGAGGGGCCATCTCAGTGTATACCAGTTACAAAGCAGAGAGGGACCATCTCAGTGTATACCAGTTACAAAGCAGAGAGGGGCCATATCAGTGTATACCAGTTATAAAGCAGAGAGGGACCATCTCAGTGTATACCAGTTATAAAGCAGAAAGGGAACATCTCAGTGTATACCAGTTATAAAGCAGAGAGGGACCATCTCAGTGTATACCAGTTACAAAGTAGAGAGGGGCCATCTCAGTGTATACCAGTTACAAAGTAGAGAGGGACCATCTCAGTGTATACCAGTTACAAAGTAGAGAGGGACCATCCCAGTGTATACCAGTGATAAAGCAGAGAGAGACCATCTCAGTGTATACCAGTGATAAAGCAGAGAGGGGCCATATCAGTGTATACCAGTTATAAAGCAGAGAGGGGCCATCTCAGTGTATACCAGTTATAAAGCAGAGAGAGACCATCTCAGTGTATACCAGTTATAAAGCAGAGAGGGACCATCTCAGTGTATACCAGTTACAAAGCAGAGAGGGGCCATCTCAGTGTATACCAGTTATAAAGCAGAGAGGGACCATCTCAGTGTATACCAGTTATAAAGCAGAGAGGGACCATCTCAGTGTATACCAGTTATAAAGCAGAGAGGGACCATCTCAGTGTATACCAGTTATAAAGCAGAGAGGGACCATCTCAGTGTATACCAGTTATAAAGCAGAGAGAGACCATCTCAGTGTATACCAGTTACAAAGCAGAGAGGGACCATCTCAGTGTATACCAGTTATAAAGCAGAGAGGGGCCATCTCAGTGTATACCAGTTATAAAGCAGAGAGGGACCATCTCAGTGTATACCAGTTACAAAGTAGAGAGGGGCCATCTCAGTGTATACCAGTTACAAAGCAGAGAGGGACCATCTCAGTGTATACCAGTTACAAAGCAGAGAGGGGCCATATCAGTGTATACCAGTTATAAAAGCAGAGAGAGGACCATCTCAGTGTATACCAGTTATAAAGCTTAGAAAGGGAACATCTCCGAAGTGTATACCGGTTACGCCAAAGCAGAGAGGGATAAATATAATTAACCATACCAGTTACAAAGCAGAGAGGGGCCATCTCAGTGTATACCAGTTACAAAGCAGAGAGGGACCATCTCAGTGTATACCAGTTACAAAGTAGAGAGGGACCATCCCAGTGTATACCAGTGATAAAGCAGAGAGAGACCATCTCAGTGTATACCAGTGATAAAGCAGAGAAGGGCCATATCAGTGTATACAGTTATAAAAGCAGAGAGGACCATCTCTGGTGTATGTACCAGTTACAAAGTAGAGAGGGGCCATCTCGGTGTATACCAGTTATAAAGCAGAGAGGAGCCATCTCAGTGTATACCAGTTACTTATAAAGCAGAGAGAGGGACCATCTCGAGGTGTATACCAGTTACAAAGTAGAGAGGGGGCCATCTCGGTGTATACCAGTTATAAAGCAGAGAGGGGCCATCTCAGTAACATACCAGTTATAAAGCAGAGAGGGACAAATACTCGGTGTATACACCGGTTACAAAGTAGAGAGGGCCATCTCTCGAGGTGTATACCGAAGTTATAAAGCGAGAGGGACCATCTCGAGGTGTATACCAGTTACAAAGTAGAGAGGACCATCTCGGTGGCCCATACCAGTTATAAAGCAGAGAGAGACCATCTCAGTGTATACCAGTTATAAAGCAGAGAGGGACCATCTCAGTGTATACCAGTTACAAAGTAGAGAGGGGCCATCTCAGTGTATACCAGTTATAATGCTGAGAGAGACCATCTCAGTGTATACCAGTTATAAAGCAGAGAGGGACCATCTCGGTGTATACCAGTTATAAAGCAGAGAGGGACCATCTCAGTGTATACCAGTTATAATGCTGAGAGAGACCATCTCAGTGTATACCAGATATAAAGCAGAGAGAGACCATCTCAGTGTATACCAGTTATAAAGCAGAGAGGGACCATCTCAGTGTATACCAGTTACAAAGTAGAGAGGGGCCATCTCAGTGTATACCAGTTATAAAGCAGAGAGGGACCATCTCAGTGTATACCAGTTACAAAGTAGAGAGGGCCATCTCAGTGTATACCAGTTATAAAGCAGAGAGGACCATCTCAGTGTATACCAGTTATAAAGCAGAGAGGGACCATCTCAGTGTATACCAGTTACAAAGTAGAGAGGGACCATCTCAGTGTATACCAGTTACAAAGCAGAGAGGGGCCATCTCAGTGTATACCAGTTACAAAGCAGAGAGGGACCATCTCAGTGTATACCAGTTACAAAGCAGAGAGGGGCCATATCAGTGTATACCAGTTATAAAGCAGAGAGGGACCATCTCAGTGTATACCAGTTATAAAGCAGAAAGGGAACATCTC